ATTTTTATTTTAAAAAATTTCGATTTAAGCCAAATCTTTCGATTTATTTTAAAAAATTATTTTCGAAAATTTTACGGATCCCTGATCATCACGTATGTCCATTATGCTTTTGACCTCCCTGATTGACTAGTGACTGATATGAATTATTGGCGTTGTCGTCATTCGTGATTTCGTAATTATAGACGCGATCAGGTCAGGATATAAATTACCTATCTCTTACAATAAAATAAAGATGTCTGCTCGTGAAGAATGTGTTGGTTACAATGGTAAGTTCTATAACTTATCTTTCTATACTAAAAATTTAGTTTCTAACCAATTTTCAATTCATTAGCTCTGTTTTCTTATTTACGAATAACCACTAACAAGTCGTATCGAAGATTTCTTGAGCTAAACCATGAGGTTATTCTTACTTCCGTTGTTACTGTTCTTATAAAGCTCTTGACGATCTTTGGACAATAAAATTCCTTAAGGAAGCGAAGGAAGCTTTAGGAAATGAAGATGATTTCAGGGATTTAAAAGAGAAGATGCGTTTTTTTTTTATTTTGCAAAAGAAGGGTAACTCCTAGCTGGATGCGTTCTGGCTCAGAAGAATTACTGCCTTTGACAGCTTGGTATCCACTCCAAGTCCTCAAGTCAGGCGCTCTAACTTTGTTATTGGTAAAGGTCTACTGGTTTCTGAAGGAGGAACTGGTTATGTACCTTCCTTTATCATTAAATAAAAAGTTGATGCACTGTTAAGATCATCTTTCTCTCAACAATAAGTAAATTCAGAACGCAACAACAATCGTCTACGACCCTTTTGGGTAGGAGTCATAAAGGAATATGAATTGGTGAGTAAGCTTGTATGATCCAATTGTAGATTCAATAATATCTAATATTATTATTTCTAGAGACAAGAACTTAAAATGGAGTCGGGAAAAAGATCCGCTAATGACAATATATGATAATTTCGATCAGCAAGATGATTATTATAATCTATATGAGGATTGGAAGGTGAAACGCAGAAAGGAGAAATCTAAAGCTATTATTAATAACGATATAGAAACCCCAAAGGACTTATTTGGAGGTTCTGATACTTCATCGGATCATAATGCAACAGGAGAAGATATTTTTCTCAGTCATCAGGTAAACGAAAATCAGAATATAGATTAGTTTTTAATATACCTAAATAATATACCTAAATGGAATTGATTACATTATAGGTTCGCCAGCCAAAAAATCTTGATTACTATGTCTCATATGGGTTGATTGCTAGGAAAATCAGGTTCTGGGAATTTTTTAGCGAAATTGAGATTTTTATTGCATTTTAGTTTT